GAATACCCACAGGTCAAATGCAGTGCCAGATGGAGGTAATGGGATCATAAGGTCAGTTTCCCCCATGCTGTTCTTGTGATAATTAGTGAGTCTCACAAGATCTGATGGCTTTATAAGCATTGTGCAATTCCCTTGCTTGCACTCACTGCATTGTACCACCATGTGAAGAAGGTACCTGCTTCTCCACCATGACTGTAAGTTTCCTGAAGCATCCCCGACAATGAAGGGAGGCTTGACTGTGAGTCAATTAAGCCTCTTTCCTTTATAAATTACCCAGTCCTGAATATTTCTACATAGCAGTATGAAAATGAACTAATACAATGGAGTATATTGCAACAAATAGTCAACTGAAAACAATTTAGAAGTCAATACAATACAAACATCACATATGTAAAGTTACTGGACAGCTAATGAAGCAAGGAGGACTAAAGGTGCTGATTCCAAATGAAGATGAGCTTTGCTATCTGCCTTCTCTCAAGGGCATCTTCTTATCCTGAACACTGACAAGAGACAAAGAACGTGACCTTTCAATAAGTAGAAGCTTCCCCATAAGGAGGAAAATAAACAGCAAAAAAATAGTCTTGCAAAGCAAGAGTATGAGGCTTCAGGTGTCCATACCCATGACTGTTGCCTTATCAAAATAATTTCTAAATGCTGAAGACATATGTGTGGGAGACTAAAGAAATAAACCACAAACCTCTGTGTTCATTTACTATTGCTGCTATAAAACCACCACAAATTTAGTGGGCTAAAACAACACAAATTTATCATCTTACAGTTTTGGAACTCAGAAGTTTATAAAAGTGTCTCACTGAACTAAATTCAAAGTATCAGGGCGGTATACTTTCCTTGCATGTTCAGAAGAGGATGTATTTTATTCCCATCCAGTTTCTAGAGGCTGTCTACATTTCTTGGCTCATAAGCCCCTTTCATCTCAAAACCCAGCAATGGCTGATTGAGTCTCACCATGGTATCACTCAGGTTCTGACTCTGCTGCCTCCCTGTTTTCTAATTGAGGATCCTTGTGATTACATTATTGGGCCCACTTGAATAATCCAGGATAATCTCCTTATCTTAAATTCAGTTGATTAACAAACATAATACCTTCTTGCCACATAACATAACATGTTAATGGGTTCTGGTAATTAGGATATGGACATCTTTCGGGGTACTGTATTTTGGCTTATCTGAAAATCAGAACAATTTTCTTCTGAGAAAATGGATTAAATTCAAGACCTCCAATGACAGCACACCCTGTAGAACACTTCAACTTCTTCGCTAAAAACCCAAAGAAGCAGACTGTATTTCAGAAATGGAGGCCAATCAGATATTGACTGATCTTTGTCTAAACAGTAACTCAGCCCAACTCAGATATCCTTAGATTTGAGATACTCAGACTCCACTCTGTCCACGAGAAGAAAGGAGAGGGAACCCTGTCTAGCAGAAAATATCTTTTTGAGCTTCTACAATTTTTAGACACTACTTCTCACATGCATTAAAAAAATACTGGGCATGTTTAGAGAGAGTGCCATATGACTAAAAAACAAAAAAGGAAAAGAAATGAAATCATAGATGATTTAGACATTGACATCAGCAGACAAAAGCTTTGAAATAACTATGAGCAAATTGTGTAATGAATAGGTAAAAGGGAAGAATCATCATCAGATATTTCCTTCCAAAAATACAGTGTCTCAAATTTAGAATTTATAGATGGGTAATTGTAGAAGACAGTGTTAGTTAACTGCAGATTGACATAAAATATCTACATTCTCTAAACATGGTGGAGAGAAATTTCCTCCAAAATAAAGATATTTTTAGGCAAACAAAAAGCTGAGATGCTCACTTCATTATCATCAGAACTGTACTGAGAGCAATATTACAAGGAGCTGTTATTGCAAAAGGAAAATTATCTGGATGGAAAAGTAGAATACAGGTTAGAATAAAGTTGAAGAGAATGAGAAATTTGTGAAGCCAAATAAATAAATATATACATACATACTATAACATAGAAATAAGTGTTTTAATCACGTTAGCAACAAAATGGAGATAAGATATTTTTAAAATGCGATGAACCTCTATAAAAGTCATTTTGAAAGTCATAACATTTAGACAAATGAAATGGTAAAACATTGTTTTGGGGAAATACTTAACATTTCTTATCATAAAAATACTCATTTAGATTTAAATAAAAATAATTATTCGTAAATCAGCCAAAAGAGAAGAAAAGCAGCTTTGCAACATAAAAATACTTAAAAACTAGTAAATGTTTAAAATAACCTTAAGCATATTTTAACATTATGTATATGTTCCCATGAAATCAATACATTAAATAATAAAAATAAAATACCTCAATACTGAAACAATTGACCATGATATTTAATATCTAAGTAAAAAATGTTATATTCAAAGTAGCATTATTTGGGAAGCCTACAGAAGCTAGAAATATTATTCATAGGGAATCTTTTTTTTAATGTAGCTCATCGAAGGCATAGATTAATAGAGATATAGAAGTAAAAACAAAGGAAAGTAGGGCTGTAATGAAAATGAAGTAAAACAGAAAGCAAGGTACAATCAATATGTGTAATATAAATGTGTTTATGCAAGTTTTCTGGAAGGATATACAAGAAACTGCTGAGTGTGCTTACTTTTTGGTAGTGAAACTCAAGCTGGGGGAACTTCCTTAAAAAGTAGTAAACATGTTTTTTTTCTTCATTTAAAATGCTTTTGTAGTTTTAAAAAAGATGTCACTTCAAAAATAACAATGTCAATAAAAAGAAACAGAAATGGAAAATGCAAAGGGTATATTAATTTTTGTGTCACATTGGAGTGATTTGCTGGACAGTGTGATGAGAAAATATTGAAAATATCCTCAGTAGAAGTGGACTGTGATGTGGATACAATGCAAGTGGTACTTCGCTAGTAAGTGTGGTTTATTTAAGAGAAATGTGAGGAGGGCCACAGTAAGCTGGCCTGAAAACACAACTGGCTGGAGACTTTTCCCAACCCTCTCAAATAACCGTTCAGTTTAGTGTCAGAGTTTCACTGTGAAGCAGCACGTGGAGAATGGCCGTCATTGATATGCACTCCTTGTTTTCTTGAAATCAGACATGAGCTCACAAGAGCAACTGACAAAAATAAATGTTTCACCTGAGTAACTGTCCTTACATCTTGCTGCATTGTAATCTGCTATAACCTAATGTAACATTAAAACAACTCAAAAAAAAGACAATTTTGAACTCTAAAAAATTTAATAGACCATGAGATTATTCAATTTCCTTAGGGACAGAACTGGATGTAGTCAACTAGGTATTAAATAGCATTTTCGTTTATTTGATCAGTGGTTTAAGGGTTACACAAGAAAAAAAGACTTCAGGTAAAAACTTGCCTGACATTTAATGCAGTGTGCCCCTATATTTACATTTTGAATACCCTAAGAAAATATAAAGTTTCAATAGTGGAAATATGATAGAAAATTAAAATTAAATATACGGTAAACACATTTAAGACATTCTGGAGCCTTTTGAGGACTATTTTTTTTTTCTGTAATGTTACTGTGTGGCATCAATATATTCCAAATGACTAAAAATTTAAAAACAATTAAAACAAAAACAAAATCTGTGTATTCTGTGCCTTAAAGGCAACTACCACCATCAGGAAAAACTGATAGTTCTGAACTTCAATCTACTGAATTTATTTATTTATTTAGAAAGTCTCACTCTGTTACCCAGGCTGAAGTGCAGTAGTGTGATCTCAGCTCACTGCAAACTCCACTTTGCAGGCTCAAGTGACTCTCATGACTCAGCCTCCCGAGTAGCTGGGATTACAGGCATGCATCAGCATGCCTAGCTAATTTTTGTATTTTTAGTAGAGATGGGATTTCACCATGTTTGCCAGGCTGGTCTCAAACTCCTGTCCTCAAGTGACCCACTCAGCTTGGCCTCCCTAAGTGCTGAGATTATAGATATGAGCCTCTGTGCCCACAAAAATCTACCATATTTAAACACTGACAAAAAAAGATAAGGAGGACATGTAATGCCATTCTGCTCCACTGATGGAGAACACAGATCCCTTTCTTTCTGCTCCTCATCATTTTAAAATTTGTCATTTTTGAACTCAGGATGAAATCCTGAGTGAAGGATAAAGGAAGTAAAAATCATGGAGAGCTAAAGGACATGGTATGAGGGACATTTTGTGACTTTGAATTTAGGCAGTTCCTTTCATTTAGCAAATGCAGGGATACAATTTGAAGAAGGAGAAGGTCAGTTGCTGATATGGTTTGGCCCTGTGTCCCCACTCAAATCTCATGTTACATTGTAATCCCCGATGTTGGGGGAGAGACCTGGTGGGAGGTGATTAGATTGTGGGAGCAAATGACCCCTGTTGTTATGGTAATAGTGAGTTATCACCAGTTTCTGTTGTTTGAAAGTGTGTAGCACTTCGCCATTTGCTCTCTCTCTCCCCCATCATCATGTGAATACGTACCTGCTTCCTCTTTGCCATCCACGATGATCACAAGTTTCCTGAGGCTTCTTCAGCCATGTAAAACTACGAGTGAAGTAAACCTCTTTTCTTCATGAATTACCCAGTCTCAGGTAGTCCTTTATAGCAATGTCAGAACAAACTAACACAGTTGTTATATATTTGTCCTATGGTAATGGAAATAAGATAAAGATGTCCTAAGGATTTTCTTTAAGTTTGTCCAGTCCTGCTTATCAGACTGGGAAAGAAAGTAATGAAGGTTTAACAATAAAGATATATGTGTGTGTATAACTATATACGTATAAGTGTATATGTGTATAGCTATATGTACACTTATGTGTGTATATATACGTATCTACATATACATACTTACACACACATATATCTTTATTGTTAAACCTTTATCACTTGTGTGTATACACACACATATGCAAAACATATGTAGAAAAGTATATAAAACCTTTTTTCTTTAGCAATAACTTTTTCTAAGCCAATTTAAAAGCAATACCTTTTTCTAAGCTCCCCATACAGGAACAAGCTATTTCTGTTAAACAGAAATTTTGCTAAGCCTTCTAGAGTAGGATATCAGAGATCCAACAGCCACTCTTAAGTGACCATTGATGCTCCCAGATGAAGTGACAATTGATGAGCCTATCTATCACTTGATTGGAGAATATAAGGTGAGATCAGAGCTGAATTATTCAGAACCAGAGAAACAATTTTAGATTACACATGACGGAGGAAGAAGGAGAAATGAGATGGCTGGTGAACTTGAAACAAAAAAACCACCATAATCTGGAAGACACATATTATGTTTTCACTTGGGTACATAATGAAATCTTCCTATTCTCTTTCTATATAAAATCTCATTAGAACATCATTACTTGCTAATGCATTGTGATGTTAAATGCATTTAGGATAGTGAGTAGAGTATCCAGGTGGTTTGTAGTAAAGCAGAGACCATCTGAAAGTGTGTTGTCATATTTTAGTTATGCAGGGGAAGAAGTTTTGTTCGATAAAACACTTAGGCAATGTTTTCCCATTCCTCATTTTCCCAGACACAGAGCAGCCTTGCTCCCTTGCTCTTTCCCTTCCCGTTTGTCAAAGATGCTATAAAGAAAGGATTTGACATTGATCAGTTACAACTTAGCATGAATTAAACATAGCGTGTTGCTTTTTTTTTTTTTTAATCGAGACAGAGTCTAGCTCTGTCACCCAGATTGGAGTGCAGTGGCACAATCTCGACTCACTGTAATCTCTACCTCCCAGGTTCAAGTGAGTCTCCTGCCTCAGCCTCCGGAGTAGCTGGGATTACAGGCACACATGACCACGCCCACCTAATTTTTTCGGTAGAAATGGAGTTTCACCATTTTGGCAAGGCTGGTCTCATTCTTCTAACCTCGTGATCCACCTACCTTGTCCTCCCAAGTACTGGAATTACAGATGTGAGCCACTGTGCCCAGCCCCATAGTGTGCTCTGTTTGAGATAGTATCACTAAAAATGTTACTTGAATCATGAAATGACCTGCACCCATTCCTAGTTTACATGGCATTAGATATCAATGAGATACACAAATCTTTGGATAGAATCATATATTTAGGATAAGTAATAAAGACATCTTTTAATCCTACTTCTTAATTCTTTTCAACAGATTATTATTAATGTCATCCTAACTCAATATAATCAAACAGTCCCTTAATGATTTGTCGATACAAAGTTGACACTGTCTGGGGAGAGAAGTTGGACTTCCAGGGTATTATTTGATCTGAGAACCCAGAATCCACCAGCAAGACGCCATCTCTACTGAGTGGCGTTAGAATTTTCAAGAGGAACACCAGTCATCCTGCAACCGACAGTGTGCCCTTCCCAAAAAGGTAAGTAATGTGGAAATTTAGGAATTCCAATTCCCACCATTTCACTTTCAATCCCATTTCTTCGTGACTCTAGTCTGTGTGAAGCTAACTCTTTGAAAGGGAAGTCTGGTTTCTTGTCTTTTCTCCCCTTGGGAAATTCTTCTCTTCTAGGAAAAAAGAAAAAAAAAGAAAAATTAACATTTCTCTTAGACACAGCCGATTATTTTATAAATCAAACATCCAAAAGAAGTGTAACATGTTCATTGTAAAAGACCTTATGTTTGCACTATTTTCTCCCTGCCTTTGAAACGGAATAAGAGATAAAATGGTATATGATTTTTCATAATCAAAATATCCATGATGCCAAGGTACAAAGACAATGGGGATTTAATCATCATTGCATTCTAAAGAATTTTTCCATTTTCCATCTGTAGATTAATTAAATACAGAAGAAAATTTGAATTTAAATTGTGATAAAGCAAAATCCATTACTAAAGTTTTCTTTTTATCATCCTCAAGGTGAAATAAGCAACAAAAAGATGAAATTCGAAGCAGAATGGGTTCCAGTCAAACAGATGGCAAAAGTCTTTACAAACACCAATTAAAGTTCTCGTTTATTCTTGAAATGTTCAAGTAGATCATTTAGATAATCCACTTTATGCCCTGGCAAACCTTATTAATCTTGATCTTCAGAATATTTTTAAATATCTCCATTATGCAGGAACTTCTAGACTGCCTTGTATACCTAACTGTGTGAAAAAGATAACTGTTGTTAACATTTTGCTAAAGGCCAGACATCAAAAACAGTCAACTAAGTTAGGTAGTAAATAGCTAAATTTCTGGGACTCCTTGGAGCTTCTTGAAAAAAAGATCCAAAGCGAAACTGGGCCCAAATTTGTTGGACAAAATCAAAGCACTCTTGGCATTAAAAATCAGTAGGAACTACAGAGAAATGTGCTTGAGTTCCATAGCTTTTAATAATCTGCCATAAGTATTATGAGTTGCATTGAATTTCGACAAATAATTGTGAAGGAGTTTCACTACAATGGAAAAATAAAATGTGAAATGTTGGAATATCACTAATATGTTGATAATTATATTATAAAAGTTCTAATATTTTAGATTGGTGGTAAATTTTAACAGTAGTTATTCCTTATGTTTCAGAAAATATCGATTAGTAGAAATCACATATTGTATCAGTTTTATAAATAGGTTCTTTTTTTTTTTTGCTTTTGTTTCAAGAAATGGAGTCTTGCTCTGTTTCCCAAGCTGGAGTTCAGTGACATGATCATAGCTCACTGCAGCCTGGAACTCCTGTGCTCAAGCGATCCTTCCACCTCAGCCTCCCATGTAGCTGTGCAGGCATGGGTAACCATGCCCGACCAAAAAGCTTAAGTTTTTGTAGAGATGAGGTCTCACTATTCTACCCAGGCTGATCTCAAACTCCTGGCCTCAAACTATCCTTCTGCCTCAGCCTCCCAAGTAGTATAAACAGCTTTTGACAAAATAATGTGTTGTATTCTAATTTCCTTTGTTAATTTTTGTAGAGACTCTTGAAATAATTTTATTAATTTAGTTATGCACTAATGATATTTTTGAAATAATACATTAAAATGTTATGATTACTAATGACATACATTCAGTTAGTTAACTGGGATTAATTTTATTTCCATGATGTATCTACAAACTAGATTGTAATTTTTGCATTAAAGTGACTTGTCATTCAGATTTATTTAAGGTCAATTATTCCTTCAATTGATACATTGCTATGAAAATCTTTTATAATATATATTTCAAAAATCCGAGATTGTTTTACACTGAGTGATAATAATTCTCAAGAAAATCATTAAAGAAATAAGTCCTTCTTAGTGTCATCTTCGAATATATGAAGACTCAAAGATCGTTCAAGGCAACTCTAATTAAGTGTGAGGTTATGTCATAGTACTTGAGGCTCTGGGATTTTTTTCCCCAGAGTTTATAGGGCCACCTTTGCTAAGTGGCAAAAATATGGCCTTCATAGAGGCACTTGAAAATAGTACTGAATTTACATTGGTTTTTATAGTCAGAGAAATAAATATAAATAAATTAATGCACATACACATATACTTCCACATACACTGTGCTATCATATTTTTTTTCCCATTTATTTATTTTATTGCATTTTAGGTTTTGGGGTACATGTGAAGAACATGCAAGATTGTTGCATAGGTACACACGGTGACAGTGTGATTTGCTGCCTTCCTCCCCATCACCTACATCTGGCATTTCTCCCCTTGCTATCTCTCCCCAGCTCCTCACCTCTCACCGTCCCTCCCCTATTTCCCCCCAACTGACCCCAGTGTGTAGTGCTCCCCTCCCTGTGTCCATGTGTTCTCATTGTTCAACACCCACCTATGTGTGAGAACATGCAGTGTTTGATCTTCTGCTCTTCTGTCAGTTTGCTGAGAATGATGGTTTCCAGGTTCATCCATGTCCCTACAAAGGACACAAACTCATCATTTTTGATGGCTACATAATATTCCATGGTGTATATATGCCTGTTACACATTAAACCCAAATTTTCTTCTGACCTTTTTTTATATTGAAGTGATTCAAAACATACAAACCCTTTAGAAAGATCCCAATATTTCATAATTCTTGGAAAAATGATGAAAAACATATAAACTGTAAAGTAGTTAAAATATTAAAATAAATAATCAAAGTTTTCACTGAAAGAAAGGTTGCCAAATACTTCTTATATGAGATTCAAAAAATATCCTCATTTTTTTCTTCTTCCATTACCAAAGGTAACATATTAATGAGCCTGGTCAGCAGTTTGAGGCTGCAGCGACCTATGATTGTGACATTGCACTCCAGCCTGGGTGACAGAGAGAGACCCTTTCTTAAAAAACATGAGCCTGATCTAGGATTTTCTGCATTCAACTGACACTGACTCCCTCTGTGCATATATCTGCTATCATGTCAAACATACCAAAATTTATGATGAAATCTAATTCTAGTCCCTCTTGTTTTACATTTGTCCATCCTTCTAAACTGTACATGTGACTAGAATTTACTCTTATGTGATAAAGTTGCAGCCAAAATTTGAAAAATCATAAAAGAAGATAATTTAAGTTTGAATTTTCTCTTAAAGACTTTGGTATTTATATTAAAACAAATGTCAAACAACTAAAGGCATACTGAATATATTTCTCATAGAATATTATTTTAAAGATATATCTATTATAGAAAATGTTAAAACCTATATACAATAAAATTTACTTCTGCCTTAATATTTACTTCAATGTACCCAAGAATTTAATAAAATACATCCTGTATGTAACACATAGTTTTTTAAAAATGTGTTAAAACATAATATAAAGTCAGATTACTCTTTATAGAAACTCTCACTCTTTTCAAGGACATTATATTCAAACAACTTTGATTATGTCATGTATATATTAACACTATCAAATTAGAGTCCTGTAAAGATTTTTTTTAACAGAAATCAGAGATGTCAGATGTCTTTGACTTTCACTCTATAGCAAAGTTAATTTGGTTACTTTAACAATATGACTTTATTAAAAAATCTTCAAGGAGTTCAAATGTAGAGATGCAGGTTCAGAGAGATTGATGGCCCACTGCCATTCTGAAACCAAGAAATATTATGTGGCTTCCTCAAGGAAACACACAGAAATAATGGAAAAGCTGAGAAGAGAGCCTGAGTTGTCTAGCTTTTAATCAGCTGTCTTTTAACACATAAATTATCTCATTAACACACACACTTTACTGATGAGACACCTAGTAATCAATATGGTCAGTGTAGGGATAAGTCTTGGCGTTAGAACTAAAATTAAGCAGCACATTGTGGTCAGAAGCTTTAGGCGGTAGAAAAAATGGGACATGTTCTCTGAAATCTGGAAGACAAGAGAGGTTAACTTTGAGATGGAGGAGATTCGTGCATGCACTTGTGCATGCATGCAAAATGGCTACATGAGGTGCCAGGAATGAGAGCCAGCTGTAGCTGACTTGTGATGGGCAGGCGTAACAGAGATTTTGTTTAAGTTTCTGCTTCTTGAAGAGGGAAAAATTTAGGGCTGCATTGGGTAACATTTTAAAGTAAGCATAGTTTATCTCAAATTTAAAGAAATTACATTAAATTAAGTTTCTTATATCACATAATTTATATTCTGTGATGTCTCACCTTGACACTTTTGCTGCCATGTTGTTAACCTAGCCTATAACTGATGTACACTACCGTATTAGTTTGTTTTTATGCTGCTAAATAAAACACACCTGAGACTGGGTGATTTATAAAGGAAAGAGATTTAAGTGCACACAGTTCTGCAGGGCTGGGGAGGCCTCAGGAAACTTACAGTCATGGCGGAAGGGGAAGCAAGCACATCCTTCTTCATGTGGTGGCAAGAAGGAGAAGAATGAGAGCCGAGTGAAGGGGGAAGCCCCTTATAAAACCATCAGATGGCGTGAAAACTCACTCAGTATCATGAGAATAGTATGGGGAAAACCACCTCCATGATTCAATTACCTCCTACTAGGTCCCTCCCACAACATGAGGATTATAGGAACTACAATTCAGGGTGAGATTTGAGCAGAGACACAAAACTAAATCATACCATCTATTACTGAATCCTCTTTTTTCAATATCTCCCTGCTTCTCCTCCTTCATTGTCTCAAATTTTAGGATTTTTCTTAGACACATATGAGGCCAACAAACATATGAAAAAATGCTCATCATCACTAGTCATTAGAGAAATGCAAATCAAAACCACATTGAGGTATCATCTCATGCCAGTTAGAATGGCAATCATTAAAAAAATCTGGAGACAACAGATGTTGGAGAGGATGTGGAGAAATAGGAACACTTTTACACTGTTGGTGGGAGTGTAAATTAGTTCAACCATTGTGGAAGACAGTGTGGCGATTCCTCAAGGATCTAGAAATAGAAATTCCATTTGACCCAGTAATCCCATTACTGGGTATATGCCCAAAGAATTATAAATCGTCCTATTATAAAGACATATGCACATGTATGTTTATTTCAACACTGTGTACAATAGCAAAGACCTGGAACCAACCCAAATGCCCATCAATGATAGACTGGACAAAGAAAATGTGGCACATATACACCATGGAATACTACATAGCCATAACAAACGATGAGTTCATGTCCTTTGTGGGGACTTGGATGAGTCTGGAAACCATAACTCTCAGCAAACTGACACAAGAACAGAAAACCAAACGCAGCATGTTCTCACTCATAGGCAGGTGTTGAACAATGAGAACACATAGACTCAGGGAGAGGAGCATTACACGCTGGGGGCTTTTGGTGGGAGTGCTAGGCGAGACACAGCAGGGAGTGGGGAGGGTGGGGAGGGATAATGTGGGGAGAAATGCTGAATAAAGATGAAGGGAGAATGGAGGCAGCAAACCACCTGGTTATGTATGTACCTATGCCACAAACGTGCATGACCTGCACATGTACCCCAGGACCTAAAGTACAATTTAAAAAATAACAATTAATTACGATATATAATTGCCATAAAGCATAAAACTTCTAAACACAATCCTCACTTACTCATTCACTTAGCAAATATTTATTGAGTGCCAAAATAGTACAGGAACTCTGTTACATATTCTTAAATTAGTTGATGTCTGAGAAAAAGACTATTGAGACTGACTTAAATAAATAACATTAAATCAAAATAGTTACATATTTATGTACAAAAATAATTTTATTTATACATGTACTTGATGTCTTCATGAGTTTTATTCTGATATATGATTGCCATATTTATAAATAAAAATTAAAATACAGTACAGGTATTACATCCAGTATTTCTCCTTTAACTTAATAATTTTAATTTCTTTAAATGTTCTCCACAAGTAATTAATAAAAATGTATAAGTGTATAGAAATTCATTAGGGAACTATTTGATACAAGAAGTGCATCTTTTTGTCACCTGTACCCTTGCTGCTTAAAGTATGGTTTTGGAACCAGCAACGATACCATAAACTGGGAACTTTATAGACATTCAGAATCCCACCCCAGATTTACTGAATTAAATCAGAATTCTATAGAGTTTTCCCAAGTAAATACTATCACATTCAAATTTTATTTTATTTATTTATTTATTTATTTATTTATTTTTCTTTTTCACATTCAAATTTTAAAAACACTCACTGACTTAAGGACTGAATTGGCTGTATCTAGTCTCATCACATGGTGTAAAAGATTTCATGCATGATGCAAAATATAGGAAATGAGAATTACACTTTATTTGGCCATAATACTAATGAAAAATAGGTTCTTAATTTTTACTGGCTCAGTATACAATTTTCACAAATGCTGAGAAGGAATGTCAGAGAAAGTGCAGGATACTCTGGATATTTGGAATCTATTCTGGCAATCAAGAAACCTACTCATTCACGAAGGTCTAGGGTACAACCTGGAATTCATCAGAATTGATCCACCAATTGAATTTATCACTGTTCAGTTTTAATTACAGAAATAAACTCCAATCTAACCTAGATCTCTCAGAGCTACATCCTTGAAAACTTACAATTTTTCTTACAAAGTTTAAAAAATTTAATACAGGTCCATTTATTTTACCTATTCTTCTTCATGTGATTTTTGGTATGTTTTATGTTTTAGTCTCCATGCACTCACAGGAAGGAAAAAGAATTTGGGCAAGGTTCTTCCCATTTGTCTGCTAATAAGACTGACCTAAGTTTAAATATACAGATTTCCACATGCACTTCTCCAGACCACTGCCTGTCACTACCTAGACCTAAGGAGCATGACTCTCTAGGGAAAGACCAATCTTTCTTTCCCTGTCTTATTTTCCTCTCTCCATTTTATCCTTTATTGTTGGCTCATCAAAAAAAAAATAATTAAAATCATATTACTCATCTATTCCGGCCATATTCAGACCAGTGGCCACTTACCCTTGGAGTAGGATGATGTAGCCACAGCATTAACACAATAAACACTCTTAATGAAGAACATTCAAACCAGAATGCAATTTTGCCATTTCTGCTTTTCTTAGACAGCATCTTTCTCTCCATCTGTTCTGAGTTTAGAGCCAAAGTCTGCTCTAGATAAATTTAGTGTCTGTGGGAATGAATGTGGAGGAGTTCAAAGACCAGCCTCCTGGGTGGGTTGCCAAAGACCAAAAAATGTAAAAAAGCTTCCTTTCTTACCATTAGGGAAAGAAAAAAACAAAAACCTCTGTCTGTGTCTGTCGGTGGGAACCCCACCTAATGTGGCATTACAAAGTACAGCATCACTCCGGGACTCAAACTTGTCTTCTTCTCTGTTTCTTAGAATTAGCCTCCAAAATGGAGGAGTTAATGAAAATGTATTAATTTTATTTCTCAGAAGATGAGATCATCCATTTCTCCCAAAACCTACCTGGGTAAATGGTTGCATTTCACAAAGCACTGTCACCATCAAACCGCAGTTCCTTTCCTTGCTCTTCCCAAAAACAAAATTGTAGGCTTTTTTATTGTATGGGTTTTGCCCCAAATCTCTTTGGGAAAGTAGAATATTCCAAATAAAAAATCTAAGAATGTTATACATTTTTATGGCTCTTTGTCTATAGTTTCTTATTCCCACCAAACAGAAAAGGAAAGCCACATTTGTCCCCTGCTTTCATCTTCCTGAGGGAGACACACAATAGATGTTCCTCTTCTCTGTGTGTTTCCTTCATACGACTCCCTTCTTGTTCAAATGTGCCATCAAAACTTTTTTTTGCATTATTTCCAATAAGTAATTATTTGTGAGTTTCCAGACTGTTTTGTAGACTGTATTACTCTTATTCTAAGGAAGTTTCTTTTTGTACAAAATAATATGCTGAATGGTTGCAGGTGGCTTACAAGGAGAACTTAAATACAGCAAGAAAACACAACTTCACATGAAGAAGAAGAAGAAAGAAGAAGAAGAAGAAGAAGAAGAAGAAGAAGAAGGAGGAGGAAGAAGAAGAAGAAGAAGAAGGGAAAATTAGGAGGTAAAAGACAAAATAAAATGAAATTGTCAATAAAAGTAATACAAAATTACATTCTATGCATAACTTTATCTTTTACTTTAATCTGGCTTTTTTCTTCTCTGCAAGGAACAGTGTTCCACTGGAGCTATTCCAAGGAAAAGAGGAATTAATGTGGACTGGAAAATTCTCATGCAGCAAGGCCACCCTAAGCACTGTTACGCTGGACTCGGTCAAAACACACTTTCCTGCTTTCTCATGACATCTCAGGTTGTTTTTACTACGATTGTTGTTTCTCTGAGTTTATTTCCATTGCCTCACTTATTAATTCCTCTACTGAGTTGTAGATGTTGCTGTCTCAATACTGTTGTGTCACTTGGTCTGTCTATCTGATCTTGTCTGATACAATTTTTTGACTTCTTCTACACCTTCATCCTCCACCATGCTGCTGTCAATGGCCATGGTCTTTATGCATTTTCCAGAAAATCAGATCACTGAAAGAATGTATCTTTTTATAGCAGCTAATGGCCATATACCACTAGCTAGCCCTTGAATGGGCTACCTTGACATAAAACAAAGACAAAAAAACCTCTCCTCATTTAATCACTGAAATGAAGGGAGAAACGTGATTACATTTAAAAATGAAACAAAAGCCAAACAAACAAAGACCAGCTTCCCAGAATAAGGTATGAGTGAGAGATTATTTTTAAAAGAGGTTTGTATAGTGCAGGCATCCTGACATATACAGTGTATTTTACTCCTTTGCATCCTGTAACCATTTTTACATAGATACAGATGCAAAGACGCATGTAGCTGTAAAATTACCCGACTATTTAGATGTCCAACGACATTAATTTCCAAACTCTCTCCCTTAAAAACAGTCATAGTTAAGTCCAGCTTCTTCAGTTAGAGCAATACCATTGAGACATTTCATTTAATTGCTTTGATTAAATGTGGCATTAATATAAAATAATATTTATATAAATGTGTTTAAAACATAAATAAAACCAGTACATACACAACAAAACCCCACATACTTGTCCTTTAGTTGAAGACATTATAATGTGGACTTACCTTTGAAATTTTCTGTGTGGTCTTCCTTGATCCCGTTTTCTCTCTTCTCCACAGAGGTTTTGTGTGGTTGCTATTTTACTTGTTTATCATCATAGTTGGTTTTTTTTTGAAACAGAGTCTTGCTCTGTCGCCAAAGTTGAAGTGCAGTGGTATGATCTCAGCTCACTGCAAACTCCGCCTCCTGGGTTCAAGCAATTCTCATGCCTCAGCTGGGATTACTGGTGTGCCACACCATGCCTGGCTAGCTTTTATATTTTTAGTAAAGACAAGATTTTGCCATGTTGGCTAGACTGGTCTGGAATTCCTGGCCTCAAGTGATCCACTCACCTCAGCCTCCCAAAGTGTTGGGGTTATAGGCAAGAGCCACGGTGCCCAGCCTAGTCATATTTTTTTTAACCTAATTGCATCTATAAAGAATATCCCGTTTAGTTTTGCAAGTGTTTGAGCTTTAAATAAATTGAACAAAACTGTGTGCAATCTGCAGAAACATTATTTTAATATTATGTTCTGGAGACCTGTTCATCCTATTGTATATGACAGTGTGTCTAGCTGTGAGACTTATTTTTACTAATGTCCAACAGCAATGTTTCAGTATAACAAAAGTTATCAGTCTATTCTATTATTTGTGCATATTTTCAGTACCCACAAATATTCAGTTTCCAATATTTTGGTATTAAAATGGTACTGCCAAATACTTGTTCCTAATGCACATGTGCAAATGTGTTTCTAAAATATGCAGATTGACCATCTTTGATCTAAAAATCTGAAATTCATATTGCTACAAAACTCAAATCTTTTCAAGTGCTGACATGGCAACACAAGTGGAAAATTCCACACATAAATACTCAACACAAACTTTGTTTCATGCATAAAATCATTTAAAATGTTGTATAAAATTACCTTTTGGCTGTGTGTATAAGGAATATATGAAACATAAATGAATTTTGTGTTTAGACTTGGGTCCTATCCCCAAGATATCTTATTGTGTGTATGCAAATATTCCAAAATCAAAAAAAAATCTGAAATCTAAAACACTTCTAAGCATTTCAGACAAGGAGTACTCAACCTGTATATCTTGGGAGCAAAGTTCTTGAGTCATAGAATGTATACATCATCCACTTTCCTAGATGTGGCCAACATGGAGAGGACTACTCAGATTCTCGTGAGAAAAGACTTGCTATCCCACTTTGAATTATGTGATTCACTAATAGTGTTTCTTCAACCTCTGTTCTAGTCTTTAAGGTTTTCTCAGAGTGGCTGCTGGACAACAACTGAGCAAGAAGTGCAGAAAAAGTCCCAGACATTTCTACCAACAGCAACACTTTTAATGGGCAATCCTTGTTTCTGTTGCACAGGCAGAGACTTTGTCATGTCTCTGTTGCAGGACGACAGCTGCCTCTCTGTTCTACTGCACTTCCACTACTATCTTTTAATCTCTGCATTGATTTCTCAGAACAACAAACCTGCTATACTAACCACGATTATTTTCCATCGTGCTTGAAACAATGGATATGCCCACTTTCAATATATGTGCCATGTGTGTTGTATCTTTAGAATACTTGGTATTATCCAACTTTTAAAATTTTACAAGTCTCATGAGTGAATAATTAATTATTTATATTTTGCTTTACCCTTATTACTAATAAGATTGGGGGTGTTATGTTGTTTGTTTTGCTTTGCATTTTTTATTCATCTTTTAGTTTTCCTCTTTAATGAAGTGCTTATTAATGTTTTTCCTTTTGGGTTGCTTGCTTTCCTTTTAGTTGATTTGACTGATACCAACCATTGTTTATTTATTAAGTGTTTTCCAGTTATAGAGTTGTATTTGTTTCCAGTTTGTGTTTTGATTTTCTACTTTATTTATAGTGCTTTTAGATGAATAGCGCTTCTAAATTTTAATGTTGTCAAATTTATTGATTTATGAAGTTGTTTGTGTTTGAGGACAAGTAAAACACTTCAAAAAACTGAAAGTTTTCCTCCTAAGTTAAGGAAAAAGACAAGGATGTGTACTCTTCTTGTTCTCAAGACACCTCTGAAAATTATAGTGAATTCAACAATGTAAGAAAAAAAAATAAAAGGCATACAGACTGGAATATAATAAGTAAAACTGTCTTTATTTGTAGGTGACAAGACTGCCTTGTCACACAGAAAATTGAAAGGAATCTACCAAAAAAATCCTTAAAATAATATGTAAGTTCAGCTAAGTCACAAGATAACAATAAAAATACAAATTATTTTTATTTTTATATGTTAGCAATGACCCTGCGGAAGTCAAAATTTACAATAAAACACCATCTTCAATATCTAAAAATATCCAGTAGCTGTCAACAACATAGACAGGGCTTATATGATGAAAACTATAAAACACAGATCAAAGAAATCAAAGAAGATATAAATAAATGCAGAGACATATTACATTTATGGAATGAAAGAGTCAAAATAATAAAGATTTTACTTTTCTCTAAATGGAAAAATGTTTAGCACAATTTTTTTCAAAATCCACATGATTCCTTATAGATAATGTTATACTAAAATTTATATGGAAAGACAAAGGAACTAAAATAGATATAAATTATCATGACACAGAAAATAAATTTGGAAGAATCTGTTTACTTGCTTTTCAGACTTATAAAGCTATGTGATCTTGACAGGAGGATATAAACATAACTCAATAGTACAAAATGTAGAACACAGAAACAGGCCTATACAAATATTGATAACTGATTTTTTTAATAAAGATGCAGAAGACATTTAATGGAGGAAAGATGGCCTTTTCAATACACTCAACTGGAGCAGCTGGACATCTGCAGGAAAAGACAGGAAGGAAAGGAAGGGAAGTGAAAGGAAGGGAAGAGGAGGGGAGGGGAAGGAAGAGGAGGGGAGGGGAGGGGAGGGGAGGACAGGGGAGGGGAGGGGAGAGGAAGGGAAAAGAAGAAAGAGAGAAAAAGAACTAGGGGAGGTAAGGGAGAAAAGAGGCTGGGGGGAGGCAAAGAAGGAAGAAAAAAGGAAGGAAGGATAGAAGGAGAAGAGGGAAGAGAGAAAGAAAAAGAAAGAGAACTTTGTACACAAGAGTCAACACAAGTTGAATCACAAGCTTAAATGTAAAAGATAAAACTTTTAGAAAAAAATGAGAATATCTTTGGGATTTAGGGCTAGGTGAGAGTTTTTAAGACTATACCAAAAGCATAATCCATAAAAGAAAAAATGAATAAATTGCACTTCATCAAAATTTTCAAAAATTATCTGTGAAAAACCTACTAAAGTTGAGAGATGAAAAGCTACAAAGTATAGGCAAACAACATATCTGACAAATGATTGGTATCTAGAAAAGAAAAACAAAATTCGCAAAACTCAACAATAAAAATAATCTAATTAGAATATGAACAAAAGACACAAAGAGACATTTTAGGGAATAGGATATACAAACGGAAAAGGAACACATGAAAAGATGTTCAACATCTTTACCTATTAGGGAAATAAAGATGAAAATTACAATATTACATCACTACAAAACTATAAAAAACTTCTACAATAAAAATACGATGAACCCTTGAACAATGCAGGGGTCAGCGGCGCTGACTCTCTGGGTAGTTGAAATTTTGCATATAAATTTTGATGCACCAAAGAATTAACTACCAATAGTTTACTGTTGACCAGAAGTCTTACTGATAACATGAACAGTCTTTTAACACCTATTTTATAGGTTATATGTGTGATATACTGTAGGGAAATGTTATTAAGAAAATCATAAGAAAGAGAAAACATATCTACTATTCATTGAGTGGAATTAGATAATCATAAAAGTTTTCAAGGGGTTGGACTTGTTGTCTCAGGGGTGGCAGAGGTGGGCTAAGTGGAGAGGAGGTGGAAGCGAAGGCAGAAGAGGCAGGCACCCAGAGTGTTAATTTACAGAAATACATTGTAATTTCTGTGTGATGTTTTTGTGTTTTCATTTCTCTAAAAATGTTTTTACACAATACCGATCCTTCTTCCACCATTTGATGAATGGTACATGTCATAAAATATTGGGAATAATCCACAAATAATCAGAACCCTTCTGCTGGATTAACTAACGTCAGTTTGTCTTCTGGCACTGATTCTTCTATGCCTGCATCCTCACTATCTGGCACTGGTTCAGTAGTACTGATTTCCATGAAACTATTTTCTGTTTATTCCTCTGATGTGGTATCTATCAGTGCTTGATGTTCTCTAAGATCCGTATCTTTAAACCCATCAACCCCCACCTTTTTTTATAATTTTTTTGCTATATTCACGTCCTCTTTCCTAATTTCCTTGATTTTCTCTGTCATCAATCCTATGACATAATGCACAACATCTAAACACAGTTTCCTCCAGCAAGAATTTATAGTTTCAGGTCTGATGGCTTTCATGGCTTTTTCTGTAATAACAACATCATCTTCGGTGATGTAATTCCTCTAGGCTTTCATGATGTCTTGTCAGTATTCTCTTTCATAGTGTTGATAATTCTTTCCATAGAGTACTAATTGTAATGAACCTTAAAGGTATTATGACTCCCTATTCTAAAGGCTGAATTAGAGATACTGGTTTGGGAGCAAGAATAACACTAAAAAGTATAAAAAATAAATAAGTTTTAAAAAATTTTAATGCTTTTAAAACTATTTAACCTTCCATTTCTTCTACAATCTGTTTTGATAAATTATATTTTTCTAGCAATTTAGACATTCCATTTGTTTTTACTATTTATATCAGACTTATATGTGGCTAGAAACATTAGTTGCATGCTACAAATCCTGTGAAATCTGTTGAAACTGCTTTATATGCCAGCATATGGTCTGCATTTGCGATTCAGAAGAATGTGTACCTATATGTTGAGGTGATATGTTTCATGTAAACTAATTAGATCAAGCTTGCTAATTGGTTCTTACAATCTTATTTATCATTGTTGCTTTTTAGGTTTCTCTCTATCAAATACTGAGAGAAATATATTCAAATATTCCTAAAATATTATAAATAAAGCAATCTTTATAAGTGGAACGTGTGTTCTTGGGGAGATTTATAGCAAGTCGTACTTGGATAAAATTGAAAACATTAGAAAAAAATGTTAACAGACTGGAAAAAAAA